CCCAGCACCAGTGTCCTGAAACCAGCTGAGGGTGTGAGGGCACCATCACAGACCTATGTATCATCTGCACCAGCTCTCATCCATGTGCCTAGCAACCAGTCAAGAGGAGATGCCCGAGTTAGGCTGGGAAAACTGATAGGGGGCTGGATGCTCATAACTGTGGGAGCCTTGTGTGCCGAGACTTGAAAACAATGTGAATGCATTCAGGGTGCAGGGTGTGGCTGGGTCTTTGGGTAGTCACTGTAGGCAGTTCCACACATTCGGGGCTCCCCGATTCTTTGGTGAGGGTCACTGCTGTGGGATCTGGGCTCACACTGAGGACTGCATAGATCCTCTGTGTGGTTCTTGTAACAGCACAAATGAATACTGTGCCCACTGAAGCTAGTGCCCAGGCATTGGTTTCCTTGGAGGAGAGGGGTGAGTATGAGACCACACCAACAGAGCTGAAAAAAACCTCCCGACTGAAAAAAAAAAGAGATTACCGTGCCCAATTTGAGAGTCACCTTGGACATTCCCCTTACCCTGGACCACTGAACAGAGCTCTCTGGCCACACCCAGCACATGCCTCATGGTATCCACTGAAAGAACAGACACTCCACTAAGCCACAGAGAAGTAGTCCAAAGATAAAAGCCATCACAGGGGAAAAATAAACTAACAAGTATCTGCACTAACACCTAAAAATAAATGTAGCAATTCAAGAAACAAAAATAAAGAAGACAACACAATACCCTCAAAGGAACACAACAACACTTCAATACTAGAATATGAAGACAAAGAGACTGAAGACATGCTAGAAACAGAATTCAAAAACTTGATTGTGGGATTACTTAGAAGAAACCAGAAGCAAATCAACAAATTAAACAAATCCATACATGGCATGAGGAAAAATTCTCATGAAATTGAGATTTTGGGAGCCGGCACTGTGGCATAGCTGGGAAAGACACTACCTGCAGCACTGGCATCCTATCTGGGAGCTGGTTCTAGTCTTGGCTGCTCCACTTCCAATCCAGCTCTCTGCTATGTCCTGGGAAAGCAGTGGATGATGGCCCAAGTCCTTCGGCCCCTGTACCCACATGGGAGACCTGGAAAAATCTCCTGGCTGCTCACTTTTGATTGACGCAGCCATCTGGGGAGTGAACCAGTGGATGGAAGACCTGTCTCTCTCTTTTCTCTCTGCCTCCCTTAACTCTGACTTTAAGCAAACAAATAAACTTTTTGAAAAAAAAGAAATTGTGATTTTTAAAGAGAAATCAATGTGAAACAGTATAAATGAAGAATTCAATAGAACAAATAAAAAATGCGGTGGAAAGCCTTAACAACAGAATCGGTGGGGCAGAAGAAAGAATATCCAAGTTAGAAGACAAATCTTTAGGTTTTCTACTCAGACCAAAAAAATGAAGAAATTAGAAAACTAAAAACAGTGTTAGAGATCTATGGGATACAACCAAATGACCCAACATACAGGTTTTAAGAGTTCCTGATGGCACAGACAGAGAGAGAGAGAAAGGATCAGAAGACCTTTTTAGTGAAATAATTACAGAAAACTTCCCTAATTTGGAGAAAGGGACATCCAAGTACAGGAAGACATAGAACTCCTAATGGACATGACCAGAAGAGATCTTCACCATGACATATTGCAATCAAGCTCGCCACAATAAAACAAAGAAAAGATTCCAAAATGTGCATGAGAGAAATGCCAATTACTTTCAGAGGATCTTCAATTAGACTCACAATGAATTTCTCACCAGAAACCCTGCAAGCTAGAAAGAGGCAAGATATATTCCAAGTACTAAAAGAACTGTCAACCCTAAAAAACTATATCCTGCAATGCACTCATGTATGAAGCTGAATTTGCCACCACCCATCCAGACTTACAAATGATGGTTAAGCATGCGCTACACAAAGAAACACAGAAACATGGTCATCTCTACAAAAGAAGGTGAAAGCAGAAAATCTCCCAGTAAAGTACAAAGGAAACCCCAAGCAAACAAGAGGAAATCTATGGGAAAATGGAAGGGGCACGTTGTTATGCATCAAAAATCACCTTGAATGTAAATGGCCTCAACTCTCGAGTTAGAAGACACAGAGTGGCCAAATGGATTAACAAACAAAACCCATCTATTTGATGCCTACAAGAAACTCATCTCAGCAACAAAGATAAAGGCAGACAAAGTGAAAGGATGGAAAAAGACACCATGCTAACACACAAAAAAAGAGCTGGTATAGCCATTCTAATATCAGACAACATAGGCTAACACATAACAGATAACATAGACTAACACAAAACTTAAGACAAAGAAGAGCACTATGCAATGATTAAGGCATCAATTCAACAGGAAGATGAGACTATACTAAACTTTGTGCCCCTAAATACGGGTCACCTGACTATTTAAAATAAATGTTGATGGATCTAAAGGGGGACATAGACTCCAATACAACAACAGTGGGGGACTTTAATACCCTACTTTCAGCAATTCACAGATCAACTGGACAGAAAATCAGCAAGGAAACAGAGTTCATCAATACTACACACCAAATGGACCTAACAGATATATACAGACCTTTTCATGTTACTGTTGCAGAATATACATTCTTCTCAGCACTGCATGGAACTTTCTCTAGGAATGACCAAGACCAGGCCATAAAGCAAGTCTCTGCAGAATTCAAAGAAATCAAA